GTATTTTGTCTTTGGGCGTGACCCTTTGCATTTTTGCTATATGTTTTTCTGTTTTTCAGTATATGAAACCCAGCACTGGATGAAACTCTAGGGACAGCAAGTAGAACAAGGGTTTCTGGGAATACAGTGGAACAGGGGGTAAAGGGGGGCTGATGTCAAGGAGCTAAAGAGGAAATAAAATGTTTTGAAACTGATTGCAGTAGCAATTATATAATACTGCTTGATGTGATTGAACTCTCGAGCAATAGCATATCTGCATTAACTCCCAATAAAATAGTTTTGGCAAAAAAGAAGACGAAAGAAAATCACAGGAATGCACAAAATCACTGTACAAAAGAACTGGCCAATATTCAACCGTTTCAGGAGGGAGCACACGATTGGAGCAACCGTACTGAAGATGGAAGCACAGGCTACAATGAAGGCATTGATGACAAGCAAGCCTCTAGGGGTGGATGAAATACCAACTGAAATGGGTCCACAAACGGATGCAGTGGGGGAGGTGGTCTTTGTCTATGTCCAGACACTTAGAGATCAGCTATCTGGTCAACCGCCTGGAAGAGATCCATATTTGGGCCCATCCCCCCAAAAAAGGGGGTGATGCAACAGAATTTAGAAACTTTCAACGAGTACCAATGATGCCACATGAAGTAAATGTTTGGTGAAGATACTTTTAAAAATGTTCCCAAGGTCTATTGACAGAGAACTGCCAGAAAGTCAAGCCAAATCTAGAAGATGTGGCATGAGATATACCATTGTTGATGGTAGACAGATCTTGGCTGAAAGCACAGAAAACAAGAAATACGTTTATCTGTATTTCGTTGACTGCACAGTCATTTGTCTGTGTGGACAACAAAAAAACATGGCTAATGGGAGTTCCAGAACATTCAACCGTGCTGGTACAGAACCTGAATGAAGACTTCTTGGTTTTTGTTCAAACAGAAAAAGAGGTTTAAAATAACTAAAATGTATGCCAGAGATGTGTCATCTCAACATACTGATTCAATCTATATGTTGAGCAAATCATCAGAGAAGCTGGACTAACTATATGTAGAAGAAAGCCACATCAAGATTATAGGAAGACTCATTAATAATCGGTGATATGCAGATGATACCTCCCTGTTTGATGTAAGGGAAGAGGATTTGAAGCACTTAACTGATGAAGATCAAAAGCTTTAATAATTACACCACAATACCAAGAAAACAAAAATCTTCACAACAGCCTCAACAAGCAACATCATGGTAAACAGAGAAAAGACTGAAATTGTCAAGCATTTCCTTTTACTTGGATCCACAACCAGTAGTCAGGAAATCAGATGGCATTTTGCATTAGACGAATCTGCTAAGAAAAATCCTTTAAATTGTGAAAAAGCAAACTGTCACTTTGAAGACGGAGGTGCACCTGACCTGAGCTGTGGTGTTTTCAACCAACTCATATGCATGTGAACGCTCAACAACTACCTAATGAGTTACAAGTTGGCTGCAGACCACAAAATCAGCAGTTTGAAACCACCAGCAGGTCCCCGGAGAAAAGGATGGCTTTCTACTCCTAGAGAGTTACAATCTTGGACACCCGGAGGTGCAGTTCTATCCTGTCCCAGGGGATTGCTGTGAGTCAGAATTGACTCAATGGCAGTGAGCGAAGACTCAAAAATGTTTCTAACTCAAATGGTTAAAAAATGCTCACGGTAGATCAAGGGAACCACGATACAACACCTTGAAGAGCGAAGAGGTCTCTTTGAGTAATAAAAGGTACCTGACCCACCCCATGGAACTTTTAATTGTCCCCAATGCACATGAAAGCTGGTTGAACTAGGAAATTTGAAGAATGGATGCCTTTGAACTGTGCTAACTGGTGAAGAAAATTAAAATTAATATGGACTGGCAAAAGACCAAATAAATCTGTCTTGCAAGTGAAGATGGGGAGACACTATCTCAGGGGCTTTGAATGTGTTCAGGAGGGGCCAGTCCTGGAAAAGGATATTATGCTGGGTAAAGTAGAGGGTCAATAAAGAAAGAGTAAGATTCTCAACAAGATAGGCTGATGCAGTGGCTGTAACAGTGGGCTCAAACACAACAATTGTGAGGGTTATTATAAGCCAAGCTATTTAATTCTGTATGAAATATTATGATTGATTCTGGCATCACATTTAACAAAAAAGACCGATAAAGAGGAGGGATTACTGAAGGAAAATGAACATGTTAACTTAAAAAAAAAAGATGGATACTTTGTCATTACATTTATTTGGCAAATACTTACCTAGTCCTTGGGTTAAAAGCACTGAAAAATTCAAGTTAAAAAATAGTTTTTTAATCCACAACCACCTCAATCTGTAAGCTTGGAGTTTACTAAGCATGATGATCGTTTAAGTGCCCGAGCAAAGCTATCATGGTAAGAGGAGTGTTCATGTCGAGGACAGATGATTTACACTTTCTAAGTATCACAGTTGTTCAACATTGGAACGGCATTCTTCTATCGTAAGACAGTAAAGCAGAAGCAAGATCACTAGAGAACACTTCCTCCAAGGGCCGCCGATTCGACCAGGGAAAGCACAAGTCCTCCTATTCCTGAGAGTCTGAGGAGCAGTGCGGTTCCTGAAAGACGGCAACCTTGAAACTCTTTGGAGCAGTTCTGCTCCGTCCTACAGGCTTGTTAGACTTTGAAATCGACCAGACAACACGGGGGCTACTGAGGGTTCTATATGCTTTCCACAAACTGTTTTTGACAACAGCCTTTGTTGGTGTTATGTTGCAGACACAGGGCTGACTTTTGGAAGACAAGGAAAATAGTGGTAAGACTGCCCCTACGCCCTCAGTAAAGAGGAAAAGGATACATACAAAGCTGGTCACGTCCCTGTGCTAACATATGCTAACAGGATGATCCAGGGCCGTGGAAGTACCAAACAGAAGACTCGAACTCACTGACATCGACTCAAAATAACCCTTTAGGGCAGGGTACACTGCCTCTGGGAGTTTCCAAGACTCTAACCATTTACAGGTGTAGAAAACCCTGTCTTTCTCCCCAAAAGCAGCTGGCGGTTTCAAACTGCTGACCTCACGGATCACAGCCCAATGCATAACCACTACACTGCCAGCACTCCCGTGGAAATGCAGTGAGATGAAATGAATGGAGAGGTGGCTTCTCTGAGAAGGCACTACAATCTGGTTTTTGAATGAGTATGTGCATTGTCCAATGGGGAAATTTTTATCATGGGCACAAAACAGTCCTTTTCACCCTGGACTTCTATATCCAACATCATAGATGCCTTGGCGTTATCTCAAAATTTATCTAAGAGAAAACAAACGACCTTCCCTTGTTACTGCTCGAGAGTCTCTGCTAGGATTCCCAGGCACGACACCGAGTTCAATCTGGTTATTCAAACCATAAATCTGGATTGTTCACGCCATTTCCCGTACTTTGTAGATGTAATTCAACATCAAGCCTTGTCAGTTCACCCACGTGCCAACCGGTTGTTTTTGTTGCTGCATACCATCGAGTTGACCCTATCTACGCACAAGAGAATGAAGGACTGCCTGGTCCTGAGTCACCCTCCCAGCTGTCGCTGTGCGACATTTCCAGCCCCATCTTTAGTAGGAAAAAAACTCCTATTCAGTCTTTAATATATTCTTAATGGGAACCTTCTTTGTGCAATTGATTCTGAAATTTTCCAAACAATCAATAAATGTTTCCTCTACATTTGTGTGGTCCTATGTTGACACAATTACGGGGAGGGTTCAGGACTGGGCAGTGTTTCCTTCTGTTGTACATAGGGCGACTATGAGTTGGAATAGACTCAAAGGCCCCTAACAACAACAACAACAACAACAAAATGACATATATTTATAACATGACAGTAGATTCTATGTGTGTGTGAATTAGTAGAGACTACATGTTCATTAATTATCTCCTGAATGTGTATATTTATAGCTAAGTCTCTCCTCACTGAAATATCAGTCTCAAAAAAAAGGCACTAGCCTTTCTGCCTGCTGCACCCCAATCTCTTCTGATCTCCTAGATTTGCCCTTTGGCTTCTGGGATTCTTCCAGGGAACTTCATGGTTTCATAATCTAATTATATCGATTAATCCAGCTTCCTGGCTTTGCAGACTCCTGGTTCCCAACCACCTGAGACAGCTCCCTATGTTTTTGCAGTTGGTCCAGCTCATGGTTCCACTAGATCAAGTTACCTGAGACCCGGGCTATGGGATTATTAGCATTTACAAATGTGAGTAAGGCGCCTATCGTGTAATACAGTGTGATGTGATAATGTTAATTATTCCAAAGGTCTGGCAATAATAAACAATAAAGTACACTGATTATATATCCCAAGTGTTAATAGCATCATACACTTGACTCAAAAATTAAAGATATTCTTAAGGAGAATGAAAGTATGTCAATTAGGAGTGACAAGCATCAACTACTCGGCTCACTGCCTGTGAGTAAAAATGGCATCACGGCTAACAAACAACAGCCACACGAGTCTCAGGGCATACAGGGATCAGTCTGTGTGGACCCACAGATTCTAGACTGCCACCAACCTCGAGACTTCTCACTGGGGGTGGAGGGGGGGATTGGTGGCTACTGTGGAACCAATGCAAATTGATGCTACGAAACTGAGAACTTTCTGGGTGTCTTCTGCATTTCCTTCACTTTTGAATATTTTCTCAAGACACAGAATCTCGATGATCTCTATTTTAATCAGTCCTCTCTAGTTTTTTTTTAAAAGAATCGTTTTCGTGAATGATAGCTACTGTTCTGATAATCCCATCTTCAAGACATCACTGTTCTGCAATGATTGCCTTGGAGACAAACATTTTTTCTTTACTTTTAAACACAAAGAAAATTTACATATAATTCAGATTTAAAATGTTCCAACTCTGAAAAACATGCACGCCAGCTCCATAGACCATAAAACATCTCAGTTTTTCAAGCGATACGTTTATACCATAAATGGCCTGAAATAGAAAGTAAGTAGCTCCCTTTCAGGGCAAGTAGACTGTCACCTCAATCTGCGCAGTGTGGTTAGCGTAGTACTTCAGGGCCTCATCTCCCTCCTCGGGGTCCGATCCAGGTTTGAGCATCTGCTGTAACAGTTTGTTGTGACGGGCCAACTAGAGGGGAAAGGAAAAAGTTTCAGCTTTTTTTCTCCCAGTTCTGGGGTCACACTTTGAGATTACTTTCTCTACTTGGATACAAGCTTCACAGGTCTGAGGTCAATGGTTACGAATTGCATTTCAAGAAAGGAACTATTTGAAACTCATTACAAATGAAATGACAAGGATCAGCTATTATTAGTACATGAATCATATTTTTATTGGTGACATACACGTTATCAGCATGAGAAGACTGTGCCTTGCCTAGTGTCCGGCGCTCAATTGATGCTTAGTAAATTTATACCTTTAGTAATGGGTAATTGGGCCAGGAGCAAAACTGCCCACATAATATATGTATTATACATAGTATTATAATGTAGTATATAAATGGTATTCCTTATAATAAATTGAAACTACATACAGCATTAAAAACACATTGAGCAACAATAAGAACACCCACTGTGTAATAGCACCAACAGCTCCCACATTCTGTACCAACAGTTCTCAATGCACTCATACATGGGAAGGTAGTTATGCTCCAGAGAGATGCTCTTATGGCATCTAATCAGAGCTCTATATTACTAGTTGGTATGAAAGTCCTACATTTCTGCATATTTGTATGTCAAAATTGGTACAGATCAGAGTTGAATTGTAACAGAAACTGAGCATTTAAAAATTTTAAAAAATCACCGTGAAACATTTAAAATCATTCTTGCTAGAAGTGTTCTTTTTCTGTCACCTACTGTCTAGGGCATTTGGTGGCTGGTTCTCTTCTTGTAGATAACTGATATGTACTGCCTCAACATGTGTCTTTTATGGTGGTCTTAACCACTTCCTGGAATCTTGTAATGTTTCCAACCTTTCAACTCTTCTACCTATGCCCCAATTGCCTGAAGACTGATGACAACATTAACTGCCATAAAATTATTTTATTCCTAGGATACCTCAGTGCCCTCCAGGCAGTCTCCTCAGCACTTGAAGTACATGGTCTCAGTTAGCAACCATGCTCTTTCCATGCTGAGGAGGCATTCACCGGTTTTAGAACTTGGACAAGGATGGGCTAGAGTCATAAAAAAACTTTTACAAGTTTGTGGGAAAAAAATTCATTATCTTTTCATTCCCTTTTTCTAAGAACTTTTTTGAAGTTCCCTTGAAGAGTGAGGTCATCCGTATGATGATACTTTAGACAATGACCCTTCATAAGGTCATCTTGACGTGAGATTAGAGCTACCGAGAGAAAGAGAGAGAGCAGGCCCAAGGAGCTTCCGCACAGACTAGAAAGGGGATTGGCATAGGCAAAGGCGAGTGAGACTGTTGAGCCAGTGCGGCGGCACACGACTGGTCAGGTCAGGTGTGCTGCAAAGCAAGTGAAGGAAGAATTTCAAGGCAGAGAAAGTGGTGCTGCTACAGTAAATGAAACGAGGACTGGGAAGCGGTCATTGGTTTTAGGTACTTAGAAGGCAAGTTGTTTCGGGGAGGGTACCAAGAACATAGTAGTCAAAACATGGCATGCGTGTTGGTGTAACCAATGAGGGAGAGCGTATGATACCTCTTGAGAAATATTGCTGAAAAAGAGCCAAGGAGGGGGGAAATATGATAGCCACAGAGAAGGGATAAGAGTGGGTTCTTTTAACATGGGGGATTCATTATTATATTTATTTGATGTTGAAAAGGTAGAGACACCCACTCCAGCAATAGCATGGTGGAGTTTCCCCCTCCGATTAGAAACAAACCCCGTCTTAAGGACAGCAGAGAACAGGGGTACAAAATCAGGAGGATGGGCACTTGTGATGACAGGAACATGTAGACCTTCTTCATGGTGGCTTTGAACTTATTTGTGAAGAGGAAGCTTATGATAAGCATGAGAGAGAAGGTGATGGAAATTTGAGGAAAAGAAAATATGAAGCAGTCAGCAATGGAAATGTAGGATTGCTGAGTATTCCAACCCAAGTTCACTGCCATTAAGTCAGTTCCAACTCATGGTGATCCTACAAGGTCTACGAGCTGTGGATCTTCATGGGAGCAGACAGCGACTCTTTCTGCCGAGGAGAAGCCGGCACACTCGTGTCAGTTGCTGGTCTTGCCCAACACTCGCCCCAGTGCCACGAGAGCTTCTCCAAACAGATAGTCCAGAGTTTACGGTCAGGCAGTACGTTTGTGTTTTCCCTTATTCTTCAGTGACATTCAACTTCCTGGGTGCAGGCAGAGTGAGATTTACTGGGATATGTGGTTTTGCTTAGGAAGGACCACAACAGCAACAACAAACACACATTCAAGGACAAGCGAAGAGCAATAAGAAAATTAAGAGTCTATGCAAGGAACTTAAATGAGGCTCTGGCACTTAGCTTGAATAGAGATGGGCGTGAAGCCAGGAAGGACAATGCAATGGTGGAAAGATAATGGATTCTATTTTTCAAGAGCAGAAGAAAAACAAGTGGTGAATCTGAGGTTCTAGAAGGAATGTTGGTTAGGAAGTGCTTGTCAGCTGAATACTGGAAACAGAGACTATGGGCATGGTGCAATGTAAAATTATTAGTAAGAAGCAGGTTTTAGGTGTGGCCACATACACCTGAACTGCTTCTCACACTGTTACACTATCACCATGCTCTGATGCATTGTCTCTCTCACCTGGAGCACTACAATAGCCTCGTCATTGATCTCCTGCTCCACAATAGCCTTCACAGCCTGCCCTCAACATGGGAGATAGAGCGATCCTTCCTGGGGGTCAGAACCAGCCTCTTTTATGTCTCCATATGTTAGCATTAAACCACAGTCCTCAGCATGGCCAATAATGCCAAGCCCAAACTCTCTGCCATTAAGTTCTCAGAAACCACACTTGAAAGTTAACCCACTTGCCTCTTCTAGCACATTGATTCCCATTCTCTGCTTGGTTATTCTCCATAGCACTTCTGACACAGTGTACTTTATCATTGATCTGCTGCGTAAGTAGCCTCCCCCACAGGAAAGTAAGCGTACATTTTTATGAACATGGGTTTTCATTTGTTTGTTTGTTGATTGCTATATTTCCAGGGCTTAGAACAGGATCTACTCAGCCCACATTCGATTAATCAATTGAATTTGAGTACGTGAAGTCTTAAAATCTCAAATAATCGTTAGCTTTCCATGATAAGGCAACACTGATTTGAATCATATTTTATTAACATTTTTAAAAAGGTGTTTACTTTCTTACAGTTGCTTTATAATGTCAAAAATGGCTATGACTTTTAAGAAACCAAGTGTTATTCAAAATGATGTCGTTAATGAGAATTGGACTCAATAGAGTGATTTTCATTTAGCTCACTCACTAAAAAGACTTCAGACTTCTACCTTCCCTGTTGTCTTAATGAAATGATTCCACAAGTGTCTTTTCTTATTAGAGATAACAGGGGCTCTAAAAGGCACCTCAGAACAGCTCCACCTATCTTCCTCTGTCAATGTTTTAAAATAACATTGTCTGTCAGGATTTTGTAAATGATCGATACCTATCCTAGACATTTTAAAACATAGAAGTAGAAATAATATGGTCCCATTTCTCTACTGAACATCCTTCCTTGTGTCCGTTGGGTTTGCTCTTCTTTGGGATCTGGTCACTTAGCACCCTGGCCCACTTACCAGTGACATGCCTCATGCTGTATCTTACTTACTATTATTTCCTTCCAATGGGTTGCAATATCCTCACAGAAAGGGTCTGATCTAATCCATCGCTTTATCCTTGAACCAAGAATACCACTTGGTACATAAAATAGCCTCGATGAATATCTTTTTTAATCAATGAAGAAAAGGGCTAATTAAAGACATGTTCATTGTGTGTTTATATCTCTGCTTACTCCTCTGCAAAAGAGAGCCAAAGAAATATGGGTAGATACCAAATGAAAAAATAATCCTTAGTATTTGCAGAGTACAATTTTAAAATTTCCTTATTTAATAGTTACTTCTGTATTTAAATGCTTCGCTAGATTTAAACTTCTTGGAAGGAAGTACTGGCCATGCAATAAATGTTGGATTGAACCCTATATGATAAAATAAGGACAACACCCCTATAATATGGGGAGATTATAAAAGTTCAGGGAAAACTGGAATTACAAAACAAGGGGAATATTCATGACCTTTTAAAAGCCCCTTGTGTGTTCAAAAAGTTGAGAATTATCTTGACAATTCCTTAGTTTTAAAAATAACTAATGCCAATATAGAGCTTTGTGCACAGTTTACTGAAAACACAGCACGACTTTCCAGAGACCAATTCATGATGTGTACAAGTTTTATGAAGATTAGTCCTCTATTTACACATTCTCACAAAAGGCATATTCTATAGAATAATGACACAGCCAACACTAACAAAGATGTGCCACTTTCTTATAGGTTCTTCTGTTGGGCACTTTTTGCTGAGTATTCCCCGCAGTTTCCTCAAGACAGAGAGCATGGCATCAACAGAAGCCAACAGCATCATTTACTATCACGCACTGTGTAAACCAAAGGTGAACGCACGTGGTAAGTTTCTAGACGAACATGGCGCATCTGTGGAGCCATATCACAATGAAGATATCATTTAAATCCTAAGTCAACAAGATCCTGAGTGGAAAAAAACCCCAACAGTTAATGACCAGGCTCAAGGGCAGCTGTCTCTTAGACTCCAACTTTACTATTAATAGCAACGCTGATAATAGTCCTTGACATGAGCTGGTGTTACTATACAACATAGTGTAGACAATCATCCAACAACCAATATTAGTACTAAATAGGGTCTAACTTGGGCAACATTCATCTTTATCAGCCAAAATAGTACAACAGATTTTTGTATGTTGTTGTTGTTAGTGTTGTCGAGTCAGTTCTAACTCTTAATAACTTCATGCACAACAGATGGAAACATTCTCCTTTCCTGCACCATCCTCATCGTTGCTATGTCTGATCTCATTGTTGTAGCCACTGTGTCGATCCATCTCCTTGAGGGTCGTCTTTATTTTCACTGACTCACTTTACCTGGGTGATGTCCTTTTGGGGGGACTTGACTCTCCTCATAG